AAGCAGTCTTGGCGATGTGGCGCTACAGTGTCTTGGTTCGAGACCCGCTGGGGCTGATAATTGCAGTCCACCCCAGTCGGGGTGAGAATGACTGTTAGGAAAACAAGGCTATGTGAAATTGAATGGAAACGTCATGTTTATTCATATCATTGTGGGAAAATCCTACTAAAAGTATCCACATTTTTGATGGTAGAAGCTTTTGAGACTTCCAGTAGCCTCTGAATGATAACTTTGCCTCACAGGGTGGCTTGATGTGATGAAGAAGTGGCAGTGCATTTTCCTACAATCCGATAAATGGGCCTCAGGATTCCAAAGAAGTTCACTTTGCTTTGCCTCCCAAAAGATATTCCCATACAGGCTGGACTAAACTGGACGACAAGTTCAACCAGTCTCCTCAATACCCTTGGCGGGAATCGAACCCGGGTGGGTTTTTTTCATTTCACCATTGCGCCACACTGCCACAAAACGCCATTGGGTCACAAGAGAGACGTAATTTTTTTTTATGTGATGGGAGGGGAGGTGAGAAAAAACTTGCTATTTACCATAACAATCGACTACTTTACTTATATTCATAGCAAGTAGTATCCTCATTCTAATCCCACTATGAAAAGTCATATGAGCAAGGTCTGTCTTGTCGTGAATCGCATCGGTTCGATTCCAGTTGGGGATGCTGATGAGACCGTTTTAGATAAGATGAGGACGAACTGGAGGAAATGCTGGAAAATTTTTGGTTTCTTCATTTTAAAACCTTAGACGAACTAGGGTGACTAGTTGCTAAGCCTGCTTTTTTATGAATGCACAAAGCCTTGCCTCTTTTAAAGAGCAAAACCTCAATTATCTTGGGATGTGTATAATCTTTTGTGAGACAGGATCAAGTGTATTTAAGATAGTCCATAAATCACCTTAAACAACCAAGTGCAACTTGGTTTTGATACCAATCGCTCTATTCCATTCCGCCGCAAAAACCAAAAATGTGTCTTCTCAGCCAGACCTCTTTGGCGACCTGGGCCCGATCCGGCGCTTAAACTGTAAACCGCCCAACCCTGTACTCACGCCAACAGACTCGAAGTTATCGCAATACCATGACGCCAAAGCATCTATCAACCCACGTCTCGACAGAACACAATTGTTTTCTCATCTGACCTCCCGTCATTATATGCATGTAGTCTAGCAAGTCTACCAACTAGCTTTTACTCAAACCAATTCTTGTCAAAAGCACTGAATATAAGCATTTCTGGATACTTTGTTTTTTTATTGCCGCCAGTTACGATATATATGACTACTTATGAGTAGCTCAATGTCCAGTTTTTTGCTCTTATTCGGGATAGAGGTGTTATTTCACGAACTTTCATTAATATGTCTGTTGATGTATGCATTTACCAAAAAACTGGAGCGGTTACAAGACATGTTACCGTCTGTATGTGTTTAGGAGGAGCAAGGGGAGAGGTGGTGCCCGACGAATTTCAGGGCAGCACCACTTTTGCTGTACCGGAACTGCTGGGCACAGACGGTGACCTGAGCTACTCTGCGACTACATCGAGGTCATCTTCTTCTTCGAGGGAAAAAGCTGCCTCATTCGCTTCCTATTCGCAGTCAGCGGCCGAGATTGCCGCGGCAGAAGAGGCCGGCGAGAACGAGACGAGTTGGGCGGCGCGGATAGCCGCCGCGGCTCCTGTGGCTCGAGACGCAGTCATTGACGATCCTTGCGTCTTCATCAGCCAGAGCATCCAAGAGGTGGTCGGATTGGACGTGACGCGACAGCAAGTGCATGCGATGCTGCGCTTGTTCGGCTTTCTCCGGCAAGCCAACATGGAGGAGCTGGCCACCGTCAAAGATATGGTGAGCTCATCGCCATAAAGGTTGCTTTTGTGGCGATTTTGCCCATCTCTACGGAATTGTAAACGAGCCTCTTCGGTTGGTAGCATCCAGACTTAGTGAAACTTAATTGACATGTCATTATGCAATAGATTTGTATGCATGTATAACAGCTTTCATAACCGTTGTCTCTTGTAGACAGTCGAGAATTTATATTTAGAAAAATCGCGTTTCCAACACATTGTCACATGACACTCCATTTCGAAGGGAAAGTTGGTTGAAGGGAATTGGTGATGTCGTCTCACCGCAAACCGAAGGAGGAATTGTGCGAAAAAGTCCTCGATAAAACTGTGCCCAACTCTCGTCTGTACCATCGTGACAGACATCATCAAAGCAAGATGACATACTTTACGAAAGAGAGTAAAAATATGCTAAACCAAGAGAAGAAGGTGGCCGGCCGCAACCTAAATTCACGATTTGATGAGGTATCCCATGACTTGGTTGGCCACCTCAAACCTGCTCCAAAGTTGATTCATGTTTGGGCTTGTGCTATTGTCTATTGTGTGTATGCAATGCTCATGTCATGAGTAGTATGATAGTCAGTAGCTAATCCAGCCGTCTACTCTTGCTCTCTCACCCTAAGCATATCAAACAGCCACAAATATTTCCCACTCCGTTTTCTACACTCG